CGATATGACCGGGGAATTGCTGGAGATGCCATTGAACGATGTTCTCCGGGTATGGATCGAAGACGATCTACAAGATAGAAATGAGTAACGTAAGATTAATTAATTAGAAAAATACATGTAGTCCCATGAAAAACAAATATAAATGGATCGCTGTATAGAAGTTACCTCTCCTTCCAAAGTCGCTCAAACCTCCTCCGATACTCCTCCAACTTGTGTTGGGCAAGGTTGTCGCATGTTGTGGTCCAAGCCACCTTATTAATATGACAAGAATGAAACTACAATAAGATAAAAACAAGACAAATGTGTTATGACTACATGATGGGGTATGAGAAGTTTACCTTGCTCCATAAGCTTCACCTCTTAGGGGATGATCGATTGGCCAATCCCTGTCTGGACGTTGGGCCGGTGCAAGCCCATGGCATATGCTCCCAAGCCCAAAATTGGACGATGAACATTGCGCCGCCAACCTCCCTCACGGCTTTGTTCAACGCATTGCACAAGTTGTTGTAGATGATAGCTAGGCAAGCGGATGCCCAACTATACTCCCCCATCTCCTCCCAACTACTGAAGATGATCCTAAGCCATCCACAACTAAGGAGATTGCTTGATTTCTTGGAGAATAACACTCCTCCGATCATGCCTATGAATAGACACGAACATATCTCTCCTTCTCATCCTCCGGACTTTCCTCGGTTAGGGGTGACTCTCGTAATGCTCTCTAAAATACTTCGTCACCATGTAATTGAGACTTGGTGTTTCCTCATTGGTGGCATGCGATCGGTCGCATCAACGCAAACCCTTCACCGGTACTTTCACTCCCAAATGACTGTGGATGAAATGCTGCCAACCTGGCATACCGTCACAATCCTCGGGGGGATGATCACTCACGCACACCGGTTTGCCGTCGATGGGCAGATGGGTTAGGATGGCGACATCCTTTAGCGTGATGGTGGCCTCTCCTTCTCTAAAGTTGAAACAATGGGTCTCCTTTCTCCATCTCTCGGCTAATGCGGTGATGAGTTGGCGAACGATTTGGATGCCGTTAAATGCCTAATCGAGTCTAACCGTGCCCTTTTGAGAAATGGCAAGATAGCTGGGGGAATGGGAGCACATTGTGGTACCCCTATAGCGGATTATTGTTTGTGATTCCTAGAAAAAATGTACACTTAATTATTATTAGTAAGGGTTTTTTTTCGTATAACTAATTTAATTAAATTAATGGTGCGACATAAAACATAATTTTATTATCATAAAAAGACATTTCATATATCATAAAACAAACGTAAAACAAACATATTATCGTAAAACAAACATATTGTCAATGAATAATAATTTAAAGAGGTACATACATATTATCGTTAAAACAAACATACTAAATTAATTAACATAAATAACATTGTCAATGAATACTAATTTAAGAGGTACATACATATTATCGTAAAACAAACATACTAATTAATTAACATAAATAACATTGTCAATGAATACTAATTTAAAGAGGTACATACATATTATCGTAAAACAAACATACTAAATTAATTAACATAATAACATTGTTAATGAATAATAATTTAAGTAGAAACATACATATTCAAATGTTTGGTAAATAATTTAATCGTTTAGTGTTTTAAATAATTAATCGAATACAAAGCAACACTCGTTAGACTCTTAGAAGAGGTATATCATCTTCTTAGAAACGCAGTCTTTGACAAAAAAGGGGGGATCCAAGGATCTCTTAATACCCGATTTTCCCAGGAATGGGAGGATATGATAATCGCTTAAAACCCCATTCCTTAGACGTGCATCTCTTTATAAAGAGTCGAAGTAAGTGGCGCTATGTATTCGATTAAATTATTGAAAACAACCAACACGATTAAAAAAATAAACATAAATTAATTTTATATTACACTAGGCACATTAACAAAATAAAAGAAGGACAAATGGTGAAGAATTGTATGTACCGGGTGATCGTTCCAAACATCCCTTGACCGATGTGGATTGGTCGTACAAGTCGGTTGGATCCACCGGTCCTTGCTCGAGATAATACCGTTGGTTGTATATCGACGTCCTCCCCAACCTACGAGAAAAATAACAACGAGGTAGTACATAGATTAATTAAAAAACTTATAACAACAACAAAAATTAAACCAAATAATGAGTACATACCGCTTGAAATTCATCAACATAAACTCCTTCTCTTTGCCACCAATCGGCCATTATTTCGGCGTAATTCGGACAGAGCTTCGGCTCGACTCGGAGGGTTTTGAGGAAAAACCTAAGAAATGTTTTCTGATGGCAGATCGGACTTAGCCGCAACCAACAGACCACTATTTCCTAGGCTTTTGGGAGGGGAGGGTTTAGTTAGAGAGATAAATTGTAGAGAGAGGAGGAAGAATGGGTTGTGGTGTGAAGAAATGAGAGGGGGAGGGGGGGTATTTATACCCATCAGACCGCACCCCCAGGGGCGGTCCAGTAATTTTGGCCTAAGGGAAACCGCTGCCTCCCGATGCGGTTTGCGCTTCCCAAGGGTTGACCGCTGCCTACAGCTGCGTTCCCCCTTCCCTGGCACGGATCGCTTCGCTGGCATGCGATCCACCGTCAGATCGCATCTCCATCTAGCGGTCTTGAAGACCGTTCCGCAGCTGGCGCGGATCGCTCCGCTGGCATGCGTTTCCACATGAGACCGCGCCTCCATGATGCGGTTTATAAGTTAAACGCATCCTTCGGTGCGGTTTACTTATAAAACGCATCATGGAGGTGCGTTCCATAAAAATGTGTGCTAGTTCTGTCAATTTTTTCATAAGTGTGCTATTTTTGTAATTTTTTTTTTGGGGTGCTATTATTGGAAAAATCTCTTATTATAAATTACTTCCTCTTACATGAAATCCGTTCTTGCTTTCATCCTTAATACTTTTAGTCCTTAATAGATTATAAAGTTCTCTGCTTCTACCTTAACTTATATGCTAATTACGAGGGTCCACCGCATTACGTATCACTGTCCGGTATCCCTACCCATAAGGCAATGATACTGCGTTACGTATCATTATCCAGTCCATACCCGGTCAACTATTGCGTTACGTATCACGTCCAGTAGTGACCTAATGTCATCGATCAACTGCTGCGTTACGTATCGCTGTCCAGCAGTGATCTGACATCTACTAGGTCCAGTAGTGACCCAACCGCCGGGAGTTCAATTACCATTAACCGTACATACAAATAGACACATACATAACAAACGCGTGCCTCCACCTTGAGTAGGCGGTTGGATGCTTCACACACACAATCGTGGATAATTCAAAATAAACAAAACTACTATAAGTAAAGCATAAACTAAAAGACCTTGACATAGATTTTACCCCCTTTACACACATCATATCCGTTGAAATCGAATCTGATTCTGCTTGAAAAATTTCCATAATCGCTCCCAAAATATTCTCCTTGCTTCCACAATTCCATATGCTCCGACGGTCCTCGATTGAACGTCAAACGAACAAGTTATGGCCAAAATAAACATTCTTTCAGATTTTAAAGTTCCAGATTCCAAAACTAAAATTTTCCGGTCAACGAGTTGACTACCACCTCTCTAGAAAATTACGAACATTCCTCAATATTTTGAATTACCAAGAATGGTACCTGAACTTGAAAGATTTTTCGTCCAAATTTCTGAGGCTCGATTCTCCTTCGTCCGACGTCGGAACTCAAATTTGTCGATACGTGACGATCCTGGGATCGTCCTCTTCACGATGGTACCCACCACATGAAAATTTTTTTAACTTGATATCTCTGGCTTTTGCCGGCGAATGCGCGGGGTGACTAGCGCGTGTCGGGACGGGGACGACTAGTGCCTCCTCACGCCGGCGAGCTCGCTTCGGAAACGCGAGGACGAAGGGTGATCACTACAAAAAAGACGGTCAGTTATGACCAACAGTTTGGCGTTGGTAATGAACTTTTTTCGTTGCAAATGACTTGTTCTGACGACATACAGTCGTTTTGCGTCATCGGAAAAAGTCCCATCGCAAAAAATGGAAATTGGTTAGGGCGTCATAATTAGAATATTTGGGACACATGTTGGATGTCGGTAGATAAATTATTGTGGTCATAAATAAATTATACTTGATGCTAAGAAAATGACGAAGTTTATTTTTGACGAAATTTTGTTTTTTTTAACAACCAAATGTTGTTACAATAAATAGTTAATGACTCAAATACCTTCGACTATATTTCGACGACTTTGAATCATCGTAAAATTTTACAATTTGGATCGCTATTTTAATTCCTAAAATACCCTTTGTAATTTTCGACAACTAATGTTTGTCAGAAAAAATTGTCACAATAATATTATTTGTGATGGATTTGGATTTCTTGTTGTTAAATTTTAGAAAAAATAAAATTTTTATTTTGCGACTAATAATATTGATTGGGAAAATATTTTTTCATAAATATTATTATTTGTGATGATACTTTATTCGTTGATGACAGTTATTCCAAAAATACCCTTTCGAATTTGCATCGAATAATTTGGTCGGAAATAAAAAAACTTGATACTTAATTAGTTGTGATGAAATATGTTTGGTCACTAATATGTTTTACGAGGTCCAGTTGTCCTAACAAGTTAAATATGAAGCGTTGGAAATGATGTTACATATCGTCAAAATTATTATCATAAGTTGTCACAAATAAATTGTCACAAATAAATTATTAAGCATTGAAATGATGTTAGATAATGTCAAAATATTATCAATGCAATTGTAAATATATTATTTTAATTGCAATTTCATAAATAATTAAAAATATTCGAAATAGCTAAAAGAAAATTACTTGGATATAAAGAAAGGTGCGATACGATCACCATTGTCTTACATACTGGATAGTTAAGACATGTGGTGTACACACCAATGTCTTACAAGCACTAAACGAGTGCACAAACAAAACATTAAACATAGTCTTTTGCACTAAACGAGTGCACCCACAAAACATAAAACACCACCGTCTTTCTTGCATTAAACGAGCGATGCTAAGATCTAACAAAGGAAAAAACACAACGAATAAACACCACTCCTAGCTGCAGACCTCCATTGCACGTCGACCACTGCATCATCAGTTTGTCCATCACCCTCCTCATCATCTTCATTGTCGTCATCTTCTTCCTCACCATCAACTTCTTCATCATCCTCCATGTCATTGTTGTTTGCAGCCTACATCATCACATAGAACAGGAAAAGTGGGAATTACTCATTCACTACATACATACATTTAATAATACATAAGAAAAATGGGATCAGACTTACATTGGACGACTCTGGCAGCTGGATTCCAAGCCTCTTCAGCGTCGCCTCAACAACCAGAGGCATATTACAGTTCACCTGCTCGATCTGTTCTTCCATCATTCTCATCTTCTCATCGCTCTTCTCCTTCTCTATCCTTTGATCCCTTTGCATTTTTTGCTGCAGCCTTGGCTTGAAGTAGAGCCAAACACATACATGCCATGACCCCAAGCCCATCCCAAGCACTCGCTTCCTTCGCTGCTGGCCTACCACCTCTCCATAAATAGCAAACTTGTTCACATCCTCCCCTTTGCTCAACTTCTATACCTCCTTTGTCTTCATTCCAGCCTAAACAGTTCAAGATAAAAACTACTGTTAGTAATTCTGGTTCCCATATGCACTAACCACTACAACACCAAGCATTATGATTGGAATTCAGAATGTGTTTACTTACATGTAGAGCCTGAGCCTTGGGAGTGGTGAAATTATCCTTTGTTGAATGAAACTTCCTGAAAGTCTCAATAGGATCAGGTTCTCTGCCCGTCTTCTTGATCTGCAAAGACACAAGCAATCAACAAGACAGCACACTCATACATACAAAAAAGGGGAATCAAACAATAAAAGAAATATGTACTTTTTTTGTAACACACCTCTTCCAATCTGTACTTTGCTAAGGGAGCAGAGCCACAAGTTGACTTCAGCTCACACTTCTTACGGTTCTTCTTGTTCTTGTCACTTGTATCCTGCAGGTTTGGAAAAAGCAGAAGCACAACTAAGTTGCTGATTTATATAGCACAATAAACTACTCGACATAGGATAAAAGTAGAAGGTCTTACCACCCAGCTAGGGTCTGACCATTTGCATTGAACACAGGATTGCGGAATGCGGACATCAACTGCGGGAAATTTCTTTTGATGTGTTCCTTGAGTTGAGCATTCATCTCTTCCTCCGGGAGGTTGCAAGCAATCCCGACTCCTTGAAACGAGCAATCATGGTCTCCAACTCAGCTGCTGGATACTCACTAAAAGTGATCCACGGTCCACTTATGCTCTTCTTGAAAATGGCCGACATTTCACGGGCTGCTGCTGTTATCACAATCCTGCAAAATAATTATCACATATACAGAACCCACACTATTTTCAATTGCACAAACACATCGTTATGCAGTTAATGAAAGCGAGCATGTCATACCATTGTCATGGAATTCAAGTACAATTCCATGACCTGGCTTCACCCCTTTTCCAGGTCCTCGTCCTTTCCTCTTCTTACCAGAACCTTATTCAGAATACATTGGTCCGTAATTATACCTTTTATACAGTAAAAATGAAAAAAAAACTTAAGAAGATCAAGTGCTTACCCTGGTTTCCTGCCTCTCCATCTGTGCTCATAACCGTTTCATTAGTCTCCATTGCAATGTCATCGGAAGGAATCTCCACATGCTCAGTTTCTGGCACATTTTCAGATTCATATGTTTGGTCAGTGTCCTGATCACCAACATGAACACTTTCTTGTTCCTCTGTAGGAGAGTTGCAAGAGCCTTCTTCTTCAGATTTTGCGTGTCCTTGACTTTCCAATCTAACATATACATGTAAAGGTCTGTTAGAAAAAGGGGAAGATGAATATCCTAAAAAAATGGGTAAACACACAAAAACAGAGGCATACTTCGTCTCTTGGTTGTGGTTTGCTGGGAAAGGTTTATGGCTTAGGTAAACGGTGAAGGGAGGGAGTATACACGAGAGTGATACTTATGCAGATTGAGAGAGAGTTTAATGATGACTCGATATTTGCACATGTTTTCCCCTTTGTTTCTTGATTGTTTAAGCTTGCATTATTGCTTATTTGGCCTATTTTCGCTAGGTTGTGTTCCTTTGTTACATTTCAGGTCCTAGCACATAAAGTGAAGCATAGGCGCAAGTTTCAAGTCAATCAGAGATCAATTGGCGATTCGGGAGAAGAAACTCGGGCATGACCTGAAGAAGAATGGATTTATACCTCACTTTATGGACAAATAATCATGCAAGTTTGTCATGAAAAGAAAGATAACGAGACTACGAGCGCCTGGGATCAAACGGCGACTGATTCGGAGTCCGAACGAGGGAGAAACGAAGCATTGAATATAGGGGAACAGGTTCGGCAGTAAAAACACGGGCGTGCCTAAATCAAAACACGGCCGTGCCCATATTGAGGCATGACCGTGTTTTGGCCGACTCGCGCGGGCGTGTTTTTAACACGGGGCAAAACACGGCCGTGCCCTCGACCGTGTTTTGCCCAGAATCGGTTTTTTAACCCAAATTCGAGCCAAAGGAGAGGGAGAGTTGGGTTTTGGATCCCAAACACCCCAGGGACGAACCAAAGAGAGAGGGGGCGATTGAGGGCATTCTTGGAGTGGAATTGGAGGATTTCTTCACCTTGGAAGCTCGAGGAACAAGCCCGGACTTGAAGACTGATCATCTTAAGATTCTTACTGCAGTCTCTCTCTTCTCTATGGAGTAACTTCCCTTCACTTAGGTTTTGAGGAACCCTAGATATGTTTGTTTGATTGGATGATTGTATGAGTACTCTTGATAATCTTGAGTTCATATTCAATCTATGCATGTTTTCATGATTCAATTCTGCTTTAGTCGAGATTATTGATTCTGCTTTGATCCTATGAGAGCGAATACCTGATTAGGTCAATAGAGCACCATAGATTGATAGTAGTGGATCGATTGCTTTAGTCGAGGTTGATTCACTACTTTGTATCGATTGAGAACCTCATTCGATAGAGGGAATCTAGTTCAGAACGCCTTGATCGGTTGTTCTAGAGAAGGATACGTCCCTCTAGGCAATTGACTCAAGAGGGCCTTGTTCCTTTAGTCGAGACTCAAGGTCTAGTCAAGGATTCTCCGCATTGTGAATGAAAGTGAAACAAGTTAGAAATCATCAATTGTTAATCTGGCTAGTGGCTAGGGGGAATCATACCTAAGTGAGTTCCCAACCTGTAATTAGATTAACTTTAACTGTAGTTTGCTAGAGTAGTTTTAGTTCTTTCATCTTAATCTGGTTTGCTAGATAATGAACTGAAGCTGAGTAATAGTAACTCTAGAGACCCGTGGATTCGATATTTATTACTTGAGCCACTATACTGCAGTTTTCATTGGTTACACTTGGCCATTGTTAGGAGTTGTGTCATAGCGAACCAAGTTTTTGGCGCCGTTGCCGGGGACTTTCTAGAGTATTAGGAAAGGCAGAAGTTTGTTACTTTAGCGTTTTTTCTTTTCTTTTCTTTTCCACCCTTGCTTTTCACTTGGGTGTTTTGTTTCTGTTGGTGCAGATTTGAATCATGGATCCTCATGGCTTCTCCAATCATTGGGGGTATCCACACCATCCGAGTGGTATTACCCCGAGACTCCCTGGAGCAATCAAGGAGGAGAAGACTATGGATTCGGGTTCCAGTACCAACCCCCTTACTACGGAGAACAACCGGACCCCTGGGCATATCAAGAACAACCTCATTACCAAGAAGAATTTCTCCCACAACCAGAAGGGCCATCGGCGCTGGAGTTACCCATGGCGGCCTTCACAGGCCATTTTGCAGAGCCATGCTACACTCCACACCAGATCCAAACTATGAATTGAGGCTTCTCGTGGAGCAGTATGCTCGCAAGATGGACCTCCTTTTCTCATATGTTGCTCCTCCTAACTCTTCATCCCTCCGTGAATTGGAGGAGACTGTTTCGCACTCATCAAAGCAACCAGAGAGGGTTGAGCAGTTTGTGCACAACTTGCTCAAGATCACCCGTCTGCTACCATACTAGAAGAGGAGGAGGAAGAAGAAGGCTACAAGGACATTGTGGAGCAAACAGAGATTATCACGGAGAGCTCCCGTGAAGATCATGATCAAGAATGTCCTGTCGTAGCCGACCACCCCTTCCCACACCCACACCGAGATTTGAAGAGGCGGGCATGAGTGAGGAGATGCAAGAAGATCTCATGAAAGAAATTGCTTGGCAACTTGCTCTCCAATCCGTGCTAGAAGAAGAAGAGCAAGAAAGGGTGCAGAAAGAAGTTGTGGAGGATGACGAAAGTGAAGCAGGAGAAGTTCTTGATCATTTCCCAGGGGTGATACCACATGAAGAAGAAAGGGAGGTTAAAGAAGCAATTGGCGTCCAGGCTGAGGACGAAGTTGAGGTGGAAGAGGCTTGCACCGCCTATGAGTTACTTGTGATATCTCCACCAAACGTCGAGGAATACTTAGCAAGGACCCATTTGCAGTGTCTCTTTGCCAGACCAAGGCCACATCGACATCGGTCCTCTTGGTGGACGCGATGGTGGCCAATCAATGCTGTCATATCTAGTTTGGGGCAATGAGACGAAAGAAGAGAAGAAGAGATCTCGAGGGGGAGACTTCATCTGCATCAAGTGCATGAGCCTTCATCACCTGTCACCCACATGCTCGTGACTTGAGACTCCACCTCATCGACGAGAACCTCAACTTCAAGGAGGTTTTGGGGTGGACCGAAACTTAGGAGCCATCGTCCGGCTCACGACGTGAAAGAAGCGCTTGTTGGGAGGCAACCCAACCATTCGGTTTGCATTTCTTTCCCTATTTCTCTTCGGTTGAGTCAGTTTTGTTCTTTGATTTTAGAGTCAATAAACTAACCTTGTGAGATTTTGTGTGGTGTTTGGGTTTTGATTACTCTCTCCTAAGTGGGGGGGATGTTCGATTATGTATGCGGGTGAATGTTGGCTGTTTGTGTGCTTGGAGTCTAGTCCACTGTCAAATTTTAAATTTGAGGGCTCCAAGTACGTGTTTCCTTGCAAATTGTCTGCTCAGTATGCTTTGAATTGACAGTCTCTATAGTAATGTGCAACCTAGGAAGGTAGTGTAGCACTATGGAGGATGTTGAAGTATAAGATTTTTCCTATCTAGCTCTCTGTGTGCCAGTTGATTTTGTGAATTAGTGGATGTAAGACCGTTGAATTCATGTGGTAATGGTGACTCTGTTTGGATGGTGTTGTAGACTCGTCTATCGAACAGGGTGCTCATGCGGAAAATGGAAAGCAGTTGGTCCTCCATGTCGAAATCATCAAAATCCTAAAACATGGCGAATGCCTACGTGTGCGGCACCGTTCATTGCACAAAATCGGGTTTTGGAGGAGATTTTAGTGATCCTTAGTGGGGTACTCCTACAAGGTGAAGCTAAGCTGTCTCCAGTACAAGTAAAACTTTCACCCGTTGAACGGTTTTCCTACTTGAGGATGTGTTTTTTAAGGGCACGGATAGAGCTTCCGACCCCCCTTAATTTCATTGGCCCTCCGCACGAGTTGAGGAAAATGAGTTAAAAAGAAGTACTCTGGCGAGCGCCAGATGTACAGAAATTGCTCTTGCTCAACTAATAAGGGTCGACCGTGCAAAAGACTGCAGTTGGTACCCCCGCCAAGTGAATGAAAAAGAAAAAAAAGTAAAATGAAAGTAAAAAAGGGGTTCCAACGGTGAAATGAAGTGAAAGAGTACCCGGTACAACGAGTCCTTCGTTGTGAATCGTGTGAGTCCCTTTATCCATGAACTGACTGTCTTACTTCTACTTCTTCTCATGATCCTTGCTTGAGTCTAGTACTCGCATTGAGAGGAGAGTAGGGAACGTCTTAGAAGACCAGTAGACCTCGTAAGCTGCTGTATGATCTGGGAAATCTCTACCGACGATCGGGGTTGTATGTTGCTATAGAGGTCTGGAGAGATGCATTGGTTTGAGTTAGGTTTGCTTTGGGACAAGCAAACGGTTAAGTGTGGGGGGATTTGATGACTCGATATTTGCACATGTTTCCCCTTTGTTTCTTGATTGTTTAAGGTTGCATTATTGCTTATTTGGCCTATTTTACGCTAGGTTGTGTTCCTTTGTTACATTTCAGGTCCTAGCACATAAAGTGAAGCATAGGCGCAAGTTTCAAGTCAATCAGAGATCAATTGGCGATTCGGAGAAGAAACTCGGGCATGACCTGAAGAAGAAGGATTTATACCTCACTTTATGGACAAATAATCATGCAAGTTTGTCATGAAAAGAAAGATAACGAGACTACGAGCG